CCCCCCCTTTCTTCCTGGCTGAGCAAGGGCAACCTACATCTTTCACCTCAGATCCTGCAAGATTCTCCTTTCTGGGTGCCAGGACAAACCAAAGAGGAACGGCTTCTCATTTTCAAACCAACATCTCCCACCCTCTGGCCATCCTCCGGCCCTCTCCCCCCAGGCAGATGGAAATGAACTAGAAACTTAGTTCTCAGAAACCACATGTGGCATATTTTCTCCTCATAAACTGGTTATCAGCAGTTCCAGCCAGTCAGAGATTAAGTATTTACTGGATTTCTCTTCAGCAACTTCCCTCGAGAAAGCCAGAACGGTAGTCCAATCCCCAAGCTTGGCCCATCTGGGGGAAGCCAAGCAACTGATGGAGGCAGAAATGTAAGAAATGAAGATTAATCAGGCTCGCCCACTCCAGCAGTGGAGGGAGGGCTGATCCTGTAAGGAAAGTGGGTGCCAATAGCTCATCTGGCAGCTTGTGGGGGTCTTCAAGTTTGGGGTGTCAGTTTTAGTAAACTGTTACTTACGCAGCATATTTGAGTCCTTACCCCTAGATACAGGCATCTATATACTGAGAGGGCCTGTCTCCAAACCAAGGGTCAGGCTGGAGGGACCAGATCATGCTCCGACACCCACATGTATGTGCACTGGGGCATGTGGCCGTGTGTGCAATGACCGGGTCTCACTGTTCTTTGCTGTTGTGCTAGCTCTGTGCTTTGATCCTCAGCTGCTTTGCAAGAGCTGGAGATGGGCTGCAGGCTTCATGGAGATTCCTTCCTGGAGGCCTGTAGAAATCTCTTTGTTCTCCTCGTTGAATTTGTTTTTCCCTCTGCTCTCTTATGCAATGGCAAGACTCAAAGAGAAACTTTCAAAGAAGATGACTTTATTTTTTTCCTCTGAAGAGCAATATGCCGACCCTGAAGGGCTCTAGCAAGCCTCAGCATGGCCAGTATGGTGCTTGTAGGTTTGGCCCCATCCCCTTCCTTCTCCCTTGCTAAACCATTAGATTGCATTCCTAAAGCTAGCCACCAAAGTATATTACTTTATTTAGTCACTTTGCTATGCCTCATTCATTCCTGAGACTGATCACCAAGTGTCAACTATTAAAACATCAAGGTCCAGCAATCAAAATGCATTCTTTTGACTATCATAGTTAAAATACCCAATCAGAACTTACCAATTCATCCTAGCCCATTCAAACACACATCTCCCCTTTTTCCCTCTTAAAGTGAACACTTGCAGGCTGGGAGGTAGTGGCAGATGCCTTTAATCCCAGCACTCCGGAGGCAGAGGCAGGTGGATCTCTGTGAGTTCAAGGCCAGCCTGGTCTATAAGAGCAAGTTCCAGGACGGGCTCTAAAGCTACAGAGAAACCTTGTCTCGAAAATCCAAACCTAACCAAACCAAAACAAAACAAAACAAAAACCCAAACAACAAAAAACACTTGCAAAGCTATTTGCTACTATTTCTGCTCGATTCAGATCCAGCCATCTTGCCTCTTTGCCTTGTACTTGGAAATTGATGTTTGGGTGTGATCTGTGCCTAATTCAAGGGTCCAGAGGGGAGCACCCTGCATTACACAGGTTCCTTCACACCCTTAGTCGTTCCCAGATGACCATCCACACAGTAAAACAGTACCAGTCCCATCCTGCCTTGAGACACCCTGCTCTCCTTCCTGCCTCTGTCCTTCTGTTGACATTGCTCATAGCTGGAACAGTCTTCTTACTTCTCACCTTTACCCCTCATTCTAGTTGCTTCCTCATGAACACCTCAGCTTAAAGAGTCCTCTGCTGGGGAGTTTAGGCTGACCCCAGCAGCTTTACTGATCTTTCTTTCTTAAATTTATTGGCCTCCATTGTTTTCATTTTCCAATGCATTTCCTTATAGAGTCTGCCTTGGTGTTTGTCTTTTGTCTGACTAGCTGCTAAGGAAGAGTAGTTCATGGGAGAAGGGAGAAAGAGTTTCACAGGAGGGAAACCTAGGAAAACTAGTTAACCAGATGACCAAATTTAAGATCAACTGGAATAAAGTCGTGTCAGGAGTAAGCATGCCAAGGAATCACCATGATCACCCTCCCCGAAACTCATAACTTATTCTGATCATGATGAAAATCAAGCAAATCATGATGGGAAGACATTGCACAAATACCTGACCAGTATTCATTTCATGGAAACTGCCAAGATTTTTTTTAAAAAAAATCTTTAAAAGTGTGAGGACTTGTCACAGCCAAGAGACACCCAAGGGAACATGCAACTGTGATTCCATCTTCTAGATGTTCTAGTGGGATCCTGAACAAAGGAGAGGTGGTGGAGAAGAATGAGGAGAAGGAGGTGGTGGAGGAGGAAGAAAAGTCACTAAATATCAACTAATAGAATCTGAACTAAGTAGGGACTTGGTTAGCAACACTGAAGCAACACTGAATCAATGTTGGTTCATTAATTATGACCAGTGTACTGTGAGGCTTAATAATAGAAGAAATGGGATATGGGGATGGGAATCCCATACTATCTTTCCAATACTTCTTTTAATGTAAAACTTTTAAAAATTTAGTAAGTCCTATGAAGAGTTAAAAATAAAGTTTGTGTAAATGAAAATAAATTAGGTAAGAAGAGAGAGGGGGGAGGGAGAAAAGAAAAGTAAGGTAGGGGAGGAAGAGGGGAAGAGAGGAGAGAAGAGAGAGGGAGAGAGAGATTGATTATGATACTGTGTGCTGATTTGCGCTACTGATAGCTCAAACACATTTAAATAATTTTGTTTTCTTTTTATAGAACCAAAGAAGTTGTGATTTGTCCATACTCTTAGTGTTAGGGAAAAGGTCAGGATTCTATCTCAAATATGTATGGTCTCTAGCCAGTCTTTAGAGCTGGGGCACTAGCAGCTGCCTGTCTCAAAGATCTCAGAAGGCAGACGCAGAAAGAGAGCAAGTTTGAGGCCAGAGCAGGTTACACAGAAAGTTCAAAGCCATCTAGACAACATTCCGGAAATAACTTTAAAAAAAATCAGGACCAGAAGTACAGCTCAGTGGTAGAACAATTGACTACCATTCACAAGCTCTGGCTTTGATTCCTTACCACTGAAGATAGATAGATATATGGATGGAAGGGATAGATAGATAGATAGATAGATAGATAGATAGATAGATAGATAGATAGATGATAGCTAAATAACATAATATAGGCAAACACATAAACAATATATAGACAGATAGATGATGAGAGACAGCTAATCCAAGCCATGTAACATTTCTCTTGACAACAGAAGCCATGTCGGACTTTCCCCAACGCTCTCATTATTCTTCCACATTATAAAACACTTAATCTGTGCTTAGTTAATACTGCTGATTAAATAAGCTGAAATACATAAAAGCCCTGGTCTTTTTCAGGCCCCTGAGGGGATCATTGTTTGTGTATTTACAGCAATGGCAGCTGGGGAAGCTTCCTTTCATACCAAAGCCCTTGGTCTCAGATCTGCTCCATACCTCCACAGCCTGAGCATCTGTCTACGTGACTTCCAATTTCATATGTTGATAGCTGGTCACCTGTGTGGTAGTGCTAAGGGCCAGGGCTTCGGAATGTGTGTTAGTTGGGCCTTTGTTGCTGGGACAAACCTCTGAAGTGCTCTAAAGGGGGAAAGAACTATGTTTTTTTCTCAGTCTGCGGTTTCTATCCATGCTTCCTTAGTCCCATTACTGTGGGCCTGTGGTGATGGCCTAATAGTTGCGGTGGAACAGATCTGTTTATCTCGTGTGACAGGAAAGCAGAGAGAGGAAGAATCCAGAGACTGACTATGACCCTTTAGTACCCGTTCCTAGTTTGCTACTTCCTCCAAGCAGGCGTCACTTCCTAGTTCTGTCATTTCCCAGTAATGCTAAAAACTCAAGAATATATCAATACATTAACCCAATGATTATGTCTCCAACACAGGAGTGCTTTGTGGTGGCGATGGTGGGGAAGACCTGTTCAGACATGAACCATAGCTAGGGGCCATTAAACCATGAAGGTAAGACTTTCACGAGTGGGATTAATGCGCTTATTAAAGTTGGCCCTTCTGTCAGGTGAACAATAGCCAGAAGTCAGAACTTGTGAGAACTGAGCCCTCAATAGATGCTGAAT